CTGGGTTCAAGCAATTCTCCTTCAGCCTCCCGAGTAGCTGGGACTACAGGCGTGTGCCACCATGCCCACCTAATTTTTTTGTATTTTTAGTAGAGGTGGGGTTTCACCATGTTGGCCAGAATGGTCTCTAACTCCTGACCTCATGATCCACCTACCTCAGCCTCCCAAAGTGCTGGGATTACAGACGTGAGCCACCGTGCCTGGCCCCCAATTTCATACTTTTTTTATGGCTGCATAGTACTCCATGGTATATATGTACCACATCTTCTTTATTCAGTCTATCATTGATGGGCATTTGGGTTGATTCCCATGTCTTTGCTATTGTGAATTGTGCTGCAGTGAACATGTGTGTGCTGTGCATATGTCTTTGTAACAGAATGATTTATATTCCTTTGGGTATATACCCAGTAATATTTACCCAATACGCTGGGTCCAGTGGTATTTCTAAAAGGAGAACAACAGTGTGGTCAGTTAGACATGCTGTGCTATGGTGTCTTGTTGATCCTTGCTTTTTTGTTTGATGATGAACACAGGGCTCACGAGCAGCTAAACGTGAAACATGAACCGCTCCAGCTCATCCAGCCTCAGTTTGAGACGCCACTGCCAACCCTTCAGCCTGCGGTGAGTAGGTGTTCTTGGGGGATCCCACTGCAGCGCCCCACTGTTGCCCTTATCTTGTCAGCAGGCCCTCACTGTGGTCCCTTCTATGTGCCATTTGTGGCATTCCTCGTGGAGTCATAGTGCTCTGCCTCTAAACATGCATGGACACCAAATTTGTTAGTGTTCTATAGGGACTTCCACGTGGTGTGCTTCCAAATTGAGGAATCAGTGGTGTAGAGCTTTCTGTCTATTAAACATTTCCTATCCCCATCTTATGGGGTTGGAGGGCATATATGAGATTTCTTGGATAATAAGGAAGAAAACTTTGTACTGCCTTTCCAGGTGTAAGGCCCTGATTCATAGAATAATTCTCACAGCCCAGGGGATAGTTATGGTTGGTTATATATGTAAACAGGTTATTTTTAAACATTGCAGTCCAATATTCACTCAACTTGCCTTTAAAATTGTCCTGCCTCAGCGCATTCTGAAATGTTAAGAATCAGTTGGCTTGATCTTGCTTGGTAGCTTGAAATTGGCCATAGTGGAAAGATTTACATTACAAAAAAATGGCAAATGCTAAAAGCAGGCCTTCAATTTTGTTTTGAAAGTCAGTAAACATTTGCCTGCATACCATTGGTTCATACCTGCAAAATCTGACTCCAAGTTCAATACTTTCTACACTAATCTGCATCTGCTTCTCCAAATAACTTCCATCCCTAAATACTTAGGATTAAATGAAAAACAAATTGTACAATCAAATGTTGAACACAAACCTAAGCCCCAAGCTTTGTGTCATGGTGCAGAGTTAATTGGCATTGGTATGTCAGCTTGGTCAGTTTAGTGGTGATTAGAACTGGTTCCACTTGGTTGTTTACAGTGGGCTGGTAATCTTTCTTGATATGGGTCTAATGGGTGAAGGTAGATGAGGTGTTGGGAGTTTGGGTGTTTTATCCTCAGGGAAGAGCTAAGTTAGTTTTTTGTAGGGATTTCCACATGGTGTGGTTCCCAACTGAGGAATTAAGGGTGTGGACATCCTTATTCTCCTTGTGTCTCATCATTGTTAGTTATGACTTTGGACAAGCTCTTAATCTTTTTTTTTTTTTTTTTTTTTTGAGACGGAGTTT